CTAAGAAATTAACGCAAAATATAGGCTTAGAACAAGTTGTTAAGAAACTGGTATTTTGAGTGAAAATCAGTAATAAAATAATTAAATATGTTCAACATAATACATTACCAAATTCTGAGTCAAATCCTGAGCTTAATCATAAAGCAGTGCTGTTCACTACAGCGCATCTCTTCCAGTGGGTGGTCTACATGAACAGAACTCTAGGATTCCATACGTATGAGCACTTCAACGTGACAACCTAATGCATTCACATCTAAGTCTCCAACCTGACTGAAATATGATTCTGAGTAAGGAAGATCTAAAAAGTAAGATCTGAGCAGAAGAAACTAATTTTTTTGGACACAATTATGACATGATAAACAGTCACAATGAAATGAAATTGCCTTCATCTGGTACAACCCACTGTGGCAAAGCTACTCAGTATTTCATCGTGTTCTGAAAATTGAAACTACCAGTTTGAACATTTGTGTATCATCTTTTGCCAGCTAATGGCTTCATTAGTCCAGAGGAAGAAATGCACATTCCATCTGTAGCAGGAACAAAAAGCTCAGGGAAGTGCAAATGAATTGTAACTGTTACCTTTTAATTTACTAGCCAAGTACACTGGCCTTTGGAAAAAATACAAAATGCTATTTGCAAGGTTCTTGCTTAAGTGACAATCTTCCATTAACCTGGAGAAACAAGCAAAAGTTTCCTGTGAATTCTGCTATGAGAACAAATGGGAAAGTACCTCCTCAGGAAGTTTCTACATGCCCACCCACCAAACCTTGTAATCCCAAAATGCCTACCCAAGGGGAAAGCCTGCTTCCACCTGCAAACCTCTGCTTGCCCACTGACAGCATTTCTTTGATACCACACCGTCCCCTTACTGTTGATTAGAACAAGACTATAGAAGGCAAGACAAAGGAGGGAAGAAGGGGGGCAAACACACAGTGTGTCCAGAGCGGGGCAAGAAAACTGGTGAGGGGTCTAGAGCACAAGTCTTATGAGAAGAGGCTGAGGGAATGGCAATTGTTCAGCCTGGAGAAGACGAGGCTGAGGGGAGATACATTATTGCTCTCTACAACCACTTGAAAGGAGGCTGTAGTGAGGTGGGGGTCGGTCTCTTCTCCCAAGGAACAAGCAATAGGACAAGAGGAAACGGCCTCAAGTTGTGCTAGAGGAGGTTCAGATTGGGTACTAGAAAATATTTCTTCACTGAGAGGGTTGTCAAGCATTGGAAGGGGCTGCCCAGGGAAGCGGTTGAGTCCCCATCCCTGAAGACATTTAAAAGATGTGCAGATGTGGTGCTTAGGGACATGGGTTAGTGGTGGACTTGGAAGTGTTAGGTTTATGTTGGACTCGATGACCTTAAAGGTCTTTTCCAACCTAAACGATTCTATGATCTTATTTATTCTATGATCTTATTTATTCTATGATCTTATTTATTCTATGATCTTATTTATTCTATGATCTTATTTATTCTATGATCTTATTTATTCTATGATCTTACAGTTAAAGAACGCAAGGCTATTTTAAAGTTCAGATCAAATGTGGTCCCATGAAGATCACTGAATCCGGGATGTTTTGAACCAACATTAAATTTCCAAGTGGAAAACATCTCAAACAACTGAAACGTTTTTTTTTTTGGTTTTGTTTTTTTTTTTTTTTTGCTGGGAATTAGAAGTTCATAGAGGTATTGACACATTACTTGACAATACAATTTGTTATAGTGAAACCTTTCCAAAATGAATTTATTCCTTTTAATTTTCATCAATGATCTGAGAATTCAACAGCTCAGTCACTGCTTACATCTGCAGCATTAGTTTTCCTATCAGAGGTCAAGACACAAGCCTAAGATATTAATTACAATAATGCTCCAGGTCACACCACCACATTTGAAAACTATAGCAGATAGGTCACATAATATAGTTACATGTTTGCATTATATAGTTTGGAAAGCATTCATTTTGAGAGACTACTCTTTCTTCCATGCAGATACAAAGCCTTCAAGTCTTCATGGGAAGTTCTGATTTAAACACAGTCTCTCAAAGTAACTTCTATAGTCCTAATATCATAGCAAGGATCTCAAACCAAATTAGTAAGCTTCATTTCAAAGATCTTCCACCAAAAATACCTACAATGCTTCTTTTTTTTCATGAAAAAACCCCCAACAAACCCCAAACCTAAAAAGCTATTTTCCCATAGCACTCCAAAGCACAGCATGCATCTTGCAACAGCTCCAGGTTCCACTCATTGATTTTTCCAGCTCTGCAGCACAGCCCCAACTCCCCATCAAAATGAGAGCCAGCAACTTTATCAAGAGTTTCCCAGACCAAATATTATATAGGGAAAACCCTCCCTTCCTCTCTTTGGGTCACTGCTGGTTTTCCACTGAGTCAGCTATCTGGCTCTGTTCATGTAGTTCTATAAAGCCTTTACCCCAATCACACCTGGAAATTGCAAACATTGTAGAAAGCTTAGCAAGAATACCTAAGCTTTTCCAGACTACCTAACTGATGGAGCTGCACGCACCCCTCAAACAGGATGGGTGATAGGAAAACAGAACACAGGCTTAAAAGCTGACTAAACAAGGTAAAGGCATGCGACAGGTCACACCCAAATGGTTTCCTGTTCTGTATTTTTCATGTGCGTTTCAAAATATTTGCTGAAACATTTTATATTATTATCACTTAGTTTTATTAAGTATATTGTTTGCAAACGGAAGCCTGAAGAGTTTTACTAGACAAAAACCTTAGAACAAAGGAGGAAAACAACGACTGAAGAGGTGCACAAGCATTTTGTGAAGTCAACTGTTGGCATCAGAGAGAAAAAAGTCTTTTCTCTTTATCATTCAAATCAATGTCTTGGGGTGCATATGTGCACATATTCGTAATGCTTACCAAATCCTGTGAGTGCATACTCATACAGTCTAAACAGTTTGGTTGGTCTACTGACAGCCAGATTATACTAAAAAGAGCACTGATGCATATCCATAAACATTCTCCAGTCCATTTGTCAACCTAACAATTTAGTATCACTTGTTTTCTGAATTGGGGGGGTGGGGGGTGGGGGAGGGTGTGTGTGTATGTGTAATTATTTACTTTAAATCAGATATTTCAGACATGAGTTTAGTTCTATAAATATCTTTGTTACTTTATGCAGAAAATATATTAGAGTTCAATGTATACATACATTTTCCTGAGATAAAAACATAAATACTTCGGGTATACTGTACCTTTTAGTAATTTAGAGCATGCCACATCATTCTAATTTTTATTATTCTGTATTTTGTTTAACATGAGTAATATACATTTGCTTTGGAGTTTAAAAAAAATAGAATCATAGAATCATGTTTTGGGCTAGAAGGGATCCCTCTTGGATCCAACCCTCCTGCTAAAGCAGGTTCACCTAGAGCATGTTACACAGGACTTCGTCCAGGCGGGCTCTGAATACCTCCAGAGAAGGAAACTCCACAACCCCGCCGGGCAGCCTGTTCCAGTGCTCTGTCACCCTCAAAGTAAA